ATAAACTCACTTGATTAAGCATTCTCAAATCAGGGTATAATAAGAGACTCACCCCTCCCTCCCCCGGCACACACACTATTCTCCCCAGCATAATGTCCCCTGGTGTTCTGGCAAGGAAGGAGGCTCTAATAGAATTTAAATAGGCCCCATAAGGCTGAGGGCTGTGTGGTACAGAAAGAAGCTGCAGGATGGAGGTTGTGGCCTCCTACTCTCTGGGGTCTGCATCTGGTGTTTCCCAGGAAGTCTGGTGCCAATGTCATACAATGCCACATCTGTTTTCAACAAACGTTAAGCACCAAATTCTTAAATTCCTGGCAGGAAAACCTAGCATCCAGTATATCCAAAAATAGGTTTGAGGTTTCAGCAGATTTGGGGTTAACAAACTCTTCCTTAATTTTTCTATTTAGGACTCAAATGTTTATTTTGTTCTTTCACTGAGTATTCAAATGTAGTTTGAGCAATAATCTGTTGCTGTAAATTTGTATTAATAACTCATTTGAGTATCTTGGCTAATATTTACTATGAACATTATCTGGATACTTAGTATAGAATTATTGATGTGAATACTTTCAGTGATTATAAATGAAATGAAAATATTTTTATTTATTGAAGATTAAATTCTGTACTTAACAGTCTTGAAATGAAAGGGTTGTCTAAATGTACCAACTCCTTAATTTATATTGTTTCATTTAATTTTTATGACAATGCTGTATGAGGTGGGTAATTACTCTATGTTATTGAGTGAGGATATTCAGGTCTATATAAAATAAATAACTTGCTGATGGTCATGTAGCCAGGAAATGGCTCAGCTGAGATTTCTCCCAGGTCTGACTGTCAGTGCACATATGGCAAATCCCACAGTCACAGAGTCCAGCCATGCTTGGTTGTTGGGGTTCATGGTTTTTGAAAATCTTATATTCTATCACAGAAAATTAAATATAAAATATTGTTTACTCTACAATCTCTCTCTAGCTCTTTAATTTCCATAATAATATAATCTGTCAATTGAATTTCTGTGCAACTGTTTTTTAATCTGTTTAATAGCATTTTAAAAGTTGAAAGTTTGGCTCGTTCTTGGCCTCATGCTTATTTTTCAAAATGAGAATAGAGCTCACAATCAGGTTGTAATTACTGGGCAATTTATTTTTAATTTTCTTGAACATTTAACATTCACATTTCATTCCAGTTTTTAAAAAATTTATATCAGCAAGTTATTTTTAGACATGAATTTTCTTATAATTGACTTTCTAATAGGTGATACGTTCAGATGGATTCATATTCAAGAGATAAGGAATAACAGTAATTGTAGCAGTAATTAACCAGACCTGTGTGGCACTCACTGTGTGCTAGGCATTCTTCTAGGTAGTTTTATTGTATTAACTCAGTACTTCTAAAGGAGATATTGCTTGCCATCCCTATTTTGTGAACAAATGAACTGAAGCAAGATATAGCTGTGCACTGAGCTGTTCTGGGCTTTGTCCTTTGACTACTGTCAGACCTCCTTTGGAAAGCCTTTTTTTTTTTTTTTTTTAATAATGAACAAACCCTTTCCTCTTTGTGATTGGATTCAGTGCTATCCCTATAATCAGGCAGTTTTCTTTGATTGCACATATTACAACTTTCTCTCATTTCCTCTTTAGGTGATGTTTCCCTTAGATGGGTAACTCCTCTTACACTTTTGTGCAGATGCAAGACTTAGCAAGATTTCTAGCACACTCCAGGTGCTTAACAAACACTGCTTTTACAGGACTAATTTGCCCTGTTAAAAAATGTCAGTATGTGTTGTTACTACTTCACAGAGTTATTCAGAAAATCAAATAAGAGTTTATATCTGTTTCTAAACTTCATAATACCTTACAAATAGATATTAAAACAGTTATAAGGGCTGAAGTGGTAGAGCACTTGTCTGGCAAGCACAAGGAAGGTCCTGTGTTCAAACCCCAGTACCACCAGAAAAAAAAAATTATGGAGTGAGATGAGGTTACTTTTAAAACTTCTAGAAATTAGTATAGGATTTGGCACCCACTAAAAAAAGGACCCTGACAATACAACATGTCATTGTACTCTGGCCTGCTTACTTTTAACCAGTGTCTTCAGTGATTTCAAAGTTTTTGTGTATTCTGAATGCATGTGGTTTTTTTTTTTTCATTTTACAGAAAGCAGAGAAGTGTTTATGTACTGATATTTAAATATTCCAGACTCATACTGTCTAGGTTCTGTAACTAGTCTTGCTGTCTGATTTAGTGTTTGTCAGCAAATGAGAATCTTGGATTGTAGTTCTGTTTTTGTAAGTTAAAAATTCTTTCATGCAATCAAATCTCAGGGTAGGAGGTAGAAATGGCCACATATAATTTTGATAATCACCTAGGAAGTAGAAATATTCTGAATATGTTCTAAATATTGTCAGAAAAAAATGGCCAAATGTCACCAAAAATATTTTAATAGAAAAATGCAGTTGTTTCATATTTAATAGCTCTTAAGAGCACTGACATTTATTTTGCTACTCTGGTGTATATTTTATAGTCAATTTGGGCTGGTGAGTTGGATACTCTAATTACTCAAAATCATATGGCCATGGCAAGCAGCTGATAAATGGGTTACAATTTTCCAGGCTGAAAAATCATCTTTGCTTGCTTGGGAGAGATTTGGAGTGTGAGTTGACCCTCACTTTATCAGAAATTACAGCTTTAGATGTAGACATTTCATGACTTGCTTGTAAAGATAAGGGGCCATCCATTTAGGCAGGGACCTTGATGAGGCTCATCAGTTTCCATAAAAGGTTGTCATTCTCACCATCTGCTAGTCCGATGGTTAGAGTACTTTGCGCCTCTGCCCTTAGTAACACATAGTACGTGCAGGTCAGGACCTCATTGGAGAATGTAATCTGGAGTGGTCTGATATCCAGCTCTTGTCAAAAGCCTCATAATGGAGAATTGCTAGAAGGACATTCAGTCCAAGTACGCTATTTTTTTCCTGGAGTTTATCCCTATATCAAGGTGAGCCAGCAGAAAACTATTTTTAAAATTTCTCATTTTGGTACTCCTCCTTGTTTCCTTGTTTATAAAATAGAGTTTGGGCTCCCAGTCACAAGCATTGGGAGTTAATCCAACAATTGCATTATCCAGAAGGAACATTAATATAGATAGTTGGAAATTTGTTTCTTTAATTTAACAAATAAGTACAACTCTGTGCTTTAATGCTAAAACTTACTAAAATATAGCTGATTGGAAACCTTGGTTTTTCTTCCCTCCATATACATCACAATATGTACTATTTTTCATTCAATGGGCTAACTGTACAGAGTGGAAATGTATCACTCCTGTTCTGATTATCTTACAGTACTCAGCATTTCCCTGCATGTTTGCTTTTATATAACTAGTTCTTAAAATTTGCCTTTTGCCCTAATACAATCAGCCATTTGTTCTTTCATCAGAAAAATACAATATTCAGTTGATAATTTGTTACTTATTCTAAGTAAAACTTGGACATTAAAAAATAATAATAAAAGTTAGAAAGGCTGTTTCTTAATTTTCTCATTCGTGACTGGAAACTCTGAGTCCTCTTACACATGGGGAAATTTGTTATAAAATTATTTTTTTGCACTTACTTTATCAATCAAGAATGCTTTAGTATTAAACATAAAAGGTAAGATTGAAAAGATAGGGATTTATTTTAACCTGTCTCTTGATGTATAGAATTGATGCTACAGTGGTGTGCTTACTTTTCTGCATACTCTGACATTCTTAGGACACAAGAATTTGTCTGCAGGTTTCTCATCTCAAGGGTTCTAACCCTCTAAAATGGCTTCTGTGCCATTTCCCAAGAAGATGAAAAGGCAAGGGGTGAAAGGCTTTCTTCTAAGAGGTTTCTGCCTGCCCCCCCATACTCACCTACAATTATTTATATTGATCGTATAGATCAAAAGTAGGATGTAAGCCCACTCATAGCTGTAAGAGAGGTGAGAAAATAGTACTTTTATTTTTCACCTATGTAGAAGGTGCAACAGAGAAGAGGCTGTGAATCGCTTTTTTCTATTATTCTTTCTAAATAGCCTTTGTTAAATGTTTATATCCAAACCAATATATTTTCTGTTTTCCCTTCAGTATGGCTATGTTTTGTTCATCATAATTTAACTTGGAATTCAGAGCACACTTGATTTGAATCTGTTTATACAGATAATTCCTTTTTTGAGGTACAGATTATATTTTTTAAAGTATTGAGATTATTTATTTGATAAGTCAAGATCCAAAACCCATATAAATAAATAATATATTACAAACATTAATGTTTTAGAATGTAGTCTTTCTGTAGCCTTTTTAATAGTTTCTAATTTTCACAAAACAAGGTGAACTCATAGATGTTGAGAAAATGGTAGTTTTCATACCAAAGTAGCATTAGAGGAGCTTCTTAAGAGACTGAAGCAAAAGAAAAGCAGTAATGTATTGGAACTGAGATAAAGCTGTAGACTTTTTAAAAACAAGTAATAGCTTTGTTTGGGACTAAACAAGGAGAAAAACAGTGTCACAGCAGAAGTAATCCAATAGAGCAAGAAGAAGAAAGACCAATCCAGCTTTAGTTCTCTCCCACTATGTACAACTAAGTGTACTATGTACTCCGTGAACCTAGGTTTTCCTATAAATTTGTAATTATACCAATTAATTGTTTCCTTTGCTGAATGGATAAAGATGAATACAGTGTCTACTTTCAAAAGGAAGACCCTTCAGTATCTATTACCTAGTCAACTTATCTTCCAAGTGAAAGAAACCCAAATTTCATCAGTACTCCAACTGCCAAGCTTAGAATGACACAATATTATGTACTAAAAGTGACTAGCTAAGTTGAGAAAAGCCAATCTCAATCCATTTTCTAATGGACTCTGTATGATTCTGTACACATATGTGTAGTAAAATTTGTAATAATTATTGGATTTTTTGAAAAATGTTTTCTTTTTACAAAATTGAATGGGTTTGTTTCTTTATATTTTTTTTTCTCCAAACTAGGATTTTAAGAGTGGACTTGGTATTACCATCATTCCTATGAATGTTGCAAATGTTAAGCAGGTGGATCGAACTGTGAAGCAATCTTTTGAAATAATCACTCCCTACAGGAGTTTTAGGTAAGCTATTTTTAAGCATGTTTAAAGCATATTTTTATTTGGTTTTATACTACTTAAAGAAAGCTTGGGCAATCCATGTTTTTAATGCTAGTGGTGATTTTAAGGACACTTAAATTCTGCTCATTGTCTTAACTCATTAGCCAGTGTGTAAAAACATTGCATAAAAGTGACCAGAATAATCATGCTACCTGCAAAGGTATTTATTTCATGAAATTTGAGTAGTTTCTTTCCTTAATACCTCTTTTTTTTCTTATTAGGCTTCATGAATATGTTTATTTTTGTCAATAAATATGTAACATTCCTTCACATTTAGAAAGAATGAAATAAAAAGAATGTATAATATTGTCTTTAAGTTATATTTACCTTGTTTTAGCCTAATCAAATATAATCCTTTATTAAGATCAATTCCTAATTACAGTTTCTTTATGTGGTTTCCTCTAGGAACTCAGTTCAAAAAGCTACTGAGTTTAATGGGTCACATAAAGTTATTGATCAAAATATTTTAGAATTTCATTATATATAATATATTATGATATTCTAATAATTGCATTTTATGTCAATTTAAAACAAAATTTAAATTACTTAGTATGTTTTAATAATCTATAATAATTCCATAGCTTTAGTACAGGGAGTAGACATAAATCAATCTCGTGAATTGAAGCTACATTGATTCTTTTGTCATAAATAATCAACACACTTCCGTGTTTTGTGCAGGTCAGAGTCAATTGTTCTAGGCCTTTGAAGGACCAAATATTACTTAGCAATATCACAGATACTGCTAAATGTGTAACATATTTTGTCTATCAAAGTACGATCACTGGCGCAAATTTGGAGAAAGAAATGATTAAGTCAAGAATAACAAACTTTATTTTCACACATGCGGATTCTGGGCTAGGGGCATTTGTTCAGTAGTACAGCAGTTGCCTAGCATGCATGAAACCCAGGGTTCCATTCCCAGTATTGCAAAATAAATGAAACAGCAAACCCTGGCAGATTCTAGCCTCAACTAAAAATCTAGATTCTTAATCTAACCACTTGAAATCACTTAAGAATTTTGGTAATACTACAGTGATGATGGAATCCTAAAGTGCTTTAGGAAATATTGCACACATAGTTCACTTCCTATTTTTACATATTATTTAGAATATGTTAGCCATCTATTATTGTCATTGTATTTCAAAGCATTTAATTTTTAGAATAGAAAATTTTAATGTGAGGAATTGTTTTGTGGGTTATTGATGGAGCATTGAGAATGTTCCATGACATGTGTGGTAGTTGCACATGCAAAAAATGGGTAATCAGTGAATTTCTTTGAAGTGAACTGCTGCTTAATGTTTTATTGTTTCAGCTAAGTATCCAATAAATGCTAAGAAGTCAGTACATGACTAAAAATGAGTTAGAAATCTGTTAGAATAGTACCCACTTAAAACATGTCTGGCTTCTCAGTCTCTTAAAGCCATCTGGACATTCTTCTAATTTAAAAAAGTCTGTTTTTAAGTCCGAAAAAAAAATCAAAATTTCTGGTGGGTGTTTTGGTAATTTTAGTTTCAGACTATCATAGCATACTTGCCTAGCAAAATAGTTCCAATAGACTCGGAACTCTTGCCAAACTTCCATTGATTGTTATATAACCATTGTTTAAGAAACATGGCCTCTCTTTTAAGCTTTTGACCTAATAAGGCAGTTTTTTTATTCGTTGGTCAGAAAAATGTGTATGATAATTTTGTTTCCAGAGACGTAAACAAAGTCATCAGCAATATGGAAATTTAAAAGGAAAAGAAAACGATTTGTTAAATTAGATGATTTTTAACAGAAAAGACAATTGAAAACTGCCTGGCAGGCATAATTTTCAGCTGCTGTTTAATTTGTGAGTGAAATGAATATGCAAACTGAACATACTGCTTAATTGGCCTTTACAAGGGAGATGGATAATGCAGAAACGTTAATTGTTTCAGCTTCACAGCCGAGTCTGAAAAAGAGAAACAAGATTGGATTGAAGCTGTGCAGCAATCGATAGCAGAAACTCTCTCTGATTATGAAGTAGCTGAGAAGATTTGGTTCAATGAGTCCAACAGGAGCTGTGCAGATTGTAAAGCCCCGGATCCTGACTGGGCCTCCATCAATCTCTGTGTTGTCATTTGTAAGAAGTGCGCAGGTAATTAGTGATGAGTTATGCTCATCACTGCTCTGGGGCAGCTTCGCACTGACTGCTCTCTGTCACCATATATAATGTGTTCTGGCTAATGGTTGTGAAAAGTAAAACCAGGGAAAGCTTATTACATTTAAACCCAATTTAGAAATACCATGTAATTCTAAACTTCTCTCATGCAGGACTCAGATGTAGGAATTGATTTTTAAGCATGTAATCATATTTTGTGTCTTCTGGCTCATGTACAGATTTTAAAATTATGTTGAAATCTTTGAACAAGCTTAAATCTTTGCATGAAGATTTATATATGATTCTCAGTTCATTTTTTATGATGTATTTTTTATATCAGGGTTGTTCTGAGCTCTAAACTTCATATAGTGGATTTAGTATCTCTTATAATATGAATTTTAAGTAGAAGCATTTCACAAAAGTATTGTTACTTATCTAAATTACCAATACTATGACTGGTTTTCTTATTGTGACCTTATACCTGACTGCCTGACTTTTATGTATTTGGGAGCTCAGACTTTTATTCAAATGAGTGGAGGGAAATGGACCCAGCTATAGAAATAACCTCTAATAGTTATAAAGGTCTTAGGGAAAGTTAACCACAATCCAAACTTTACTTCGTTTTTCAGGAGTATCTTCCCTCTTCCCCCAACCTATAGAGAGACAGACACACACACACACACACACACACACACTCACAATTCACCTAGAATATCAGCTACTGTGCAGATGTGGGGAATTACAAAGATACATGACATGATATTACCTCCAGAAATATCTCCGTAGTAGTTACGATAGAATATGATAAGTGCAGGAGTAGAGTTGACTACAAGGTTTAATGACACACTAGAGGAGAGGAACTTCTAAGGGAGCCAGAGAACAGACACTGAGCAGTGTACCCACAGTAGTTACCTGAACCCTTAGTGTTTTCTAGACCTCTATTCCACCATATTTCTCATCATGCTAAGATAGATTTCCTCACAATAGTGACTGTTCTCACAGTCATACCAATGAAAAACAATAGCTGGTCACCCTCTACTTTGTCCTTTTTCATTCAACGACACTTTCCAGTGTCACTGGAAGAGATAACTTTGTGTTGTCTCAAGTTATTCTTCCACTTGTGCTCCCTTTCCTTCTCTCTTAGGACCCTCAGTTCCTCACTAATGTACTGTCTTCAGTGAGTATTTAGCCATGATTTCTTCTGTTTCATTACATAAACTTTCATAACTCAGACTTGTTAACACCATCAAGCTTTTTGAAAACCTTTCATTCCCTCATTCTCAGTCCTTTTTATCTTTCATAGATGAGCTGCTTTCCAGACTGTGAACTAGCCTTCACAGGTTTTCTTCATCCCTTTAACTTCTTTGCTTTCCTTCAGCATTATGTAATGAGCCTTCTTTTCTTTCTACTCTAATAAAAATATTTCCACCGCATTTATCAATCTACTTTACCTCTCAATTTCTGTGTGGTCCATTCCTATCTTTAATGTCTTCTCTGTCATATTTGAGACCTTGGCAAATGTGTTTCTCAATGACATCTGTCCTCCCTTGACTTACACAACACCTCTGCTCATACTACCTTCTGGCCAGCCTTGTTCAGACTGCCTCTCATCACGCTAGGGAAATCCATGTGTTCCCTTAGTTACATCCTCCATTCTTTGACTCTGCTCTTTCTGGTGTTATTTATTACTTGAATTCCACACTCATTTTTAAGCAGATGATTCTCACCCAGTTGAAAACCAAACTCTTATAATTATCTACCTACTGCCTTCTGGAATCCCTGCTTAGACTTGCCAAAAATACCTCAAAAATGACATCAGAAATGGAACTGTTCTTGCTGCCTCCAGCCCAGTACACAAAACTACACATTTTCATATATTTCTTATGTTAGATGCTATACTGTCTTCTTCTCTTAAATTCAACATGAAAACCTAAGAGATCTTCTTGACTTTTCCACTTTCCTTGAAGCCTGCCACATCCCACTACTGGTTTTATTTTCTCACCTTCTTAGGATCTGTCCTGTCCACTTTGTTTCTCCTCCTGCTGCTAAAACTCAGATCTTACACTTTCTTGCCTTGGCTATTCTACCAGTACCTTCAGCTTTTGCTATAGGCTTCTAAATTTTCTCCTTTTAAGTATTGCCTTTAGATATCCTTTAAAAATCCAAAACAATGCAAATCCCTGGAGTTCTAGGGCTTGAGGTGTTACCTTCAAGAAAAGAGGAAAAGAACCTCCTACACAGGGTAGAGTGTAGTGAATTTTCACTGCTACTAAGGCAAAGGGTCCTTAAGATCAAGCACCATGTCTTATGTAACTTTTCCTTCTCAGTGTGGCTTCAGGCATATGCTAGGGCATCAGTTATGACTGAATGTTGATTTATTTATCACAATTGAATTGATGATAATAAAATGCAGCACTTCTGTTCCCTTCAGATGGAACAGTGGAATAAAGAATACTCATCAGATTTCTAAGTACCTATTTCTTAGGGTCTTAGCTGCTGCCTTTAATGGTAAAGGAATGGTAAAGGTTTTCCTTTACCATTAAACAGACCTATTATAAGAGATTTTCAGTGATTTGAACAGACCTATTATAAAAGGTTTTCAGTGATTTTTAGCTAATAGCCAATGTGGGGTGGGGGATATGGAGCTGGTTATGGTTATCTTCATTGTGGTTGGTTATAATTTTTGTGTAATTGCCATGACTACCCTTAATGATATGAATATTTAAAAAAGAAGGTATTGGTGTGTTTTAGGTCAAGAAGATATACACACAAACACACATACATGTACACATTTAAAAAAAAAAGAATGAGTTCACATACAAATTAAAATAAATATGTATTTTTTTATACTTCAGGACAGCATAGATCTTTGGGACCAAAAGATTCCAAGGTTAGAAGTCTAAAAATGGATGCCAGCATTTGGAGCAATGAACTCATCGAAGTAAGTCCTGTTGAAGTGGTAGCAGTGCAGTGTGGGATGAATTTACTTAAAAGTTCTTTAGTAAAGTTCTCATCACATTATGAAATGGCTTATAGCCTGTTTGATAGCAGGAAGTCTCTTTCAAAAGGCTTCCTAAATGAGACAGTTATTTTAAAAATAAAAAAAATTACAAAGAGCTTTAGAGTAATAACGATGTAAAGGCTTGACGGGTTTTATGAAAGTGAGAACTCTCTCTTAAACCCAGCATGTTAAAATATTAGAAAAGTGAATGCAAACATTGGACAAAATTTACTGTTCTTTGTTTTGGTTGCTAATTGTGATTAAGTCTGATTTGCTGTCCCTAATCTCCATTTTCTGTTCCTGTTCTACCACTGCTCACTCTAGACAGCATTAGCCCACCTACTCAACCATTTTAAAAGAATCTGTCTCAGTATGGGTTTTAAAAAATAAGACTGTTTTTGCTGTAATTTGTGTGGCTTGCAATTTCTTTCTAAGCTAATGTTTTGCCATTATTTAGAGCAGTGAAGCTGGATTAAAAATAGCTATACTATCTGCTTTGATATTTCATTTTCCTGAAAGAGTTCAGTCTTTTATGTGTTCTTTTATATTTTATACTAAGTTATGCATAAACTTATAATGTGAATCTGTTTCTTGCAGTTTCAAATACATTTTCTGGACTGATATGTTTTGTAATTTTTTTTGACATTTCAGCTTTTTATTGTCATTGGAAACAAAAGAGCAAATGACTTTTGGGCTGGTAACCTTCAAAAGGATGAAGAATTACACATGGACTCACCAGTAGAAAAAAGAAAAAGCTTTATTACTCACAAGGAAGGAAAATTCAGAAAGACTCTTTTGGCATCTCTAACCAAAGAAGAATTAAATAAGGTATTCAGTAAAACATAATAGTAGACATGGAGTTTAATGTCTTTTTAAACATAGGCTAAGAATCTTACTAAGAAGAAAAAAACCTGATAAGGTTTTTTTAGAGTGTTTCAGATTATTTTATGTTCTTTTGTGACATCTTGGTATGATTTTCTCCATTGTCCACTTAAGGATTCATCAGCAATAGTATATAAACTCTTCCTCCAGACCCGAAGTTCCTATCCATGTCAGACCCATATCCATTATTCTTAAAACTGACACCTTTTCCCTGTTTCACAGACAGGACATTGTAACATGATGTTTTATTTTTCTGGGTGTCACCGAAGTTGAATCATGTAGTCAGTTTATTTTTACAGATTGCAGTTGGCTAGTTGGAATTGATTTGAAGTCATGGTATTTGGTTTTGGCTAAGTGATTATGTTGCTTTTTATGCCTGTTTCATGCTATTGGTTTCGTATTTTGGCAGTATGGCAAAGGATTTTGTTAAATACCTCCTACCCCTTCTTTTTCTATATTTCTGCTTTATCTGTTGTGTGTTATGAGACTTTTGTATAGATAGGTATTTAAAAATCTTCCTTTTTATACCAACTTTTAATATTCAAATTATTTTTTCATGGTTCTTAGTTCTTTACTGTTTTTAATGGTTATGCTTGTTGGAAAAAGATGTCTAGGTAAGTAGCATTATGTGAACATTTTGGAAAATAAAGACCATTGTCTATATTTGAAAATATGAGATCTGTAAAATTGATTTGTGTTACTCTATTGGCTTGGTTTTCCTAAAACAAGTCGTTCTTTTTTGTATGGACTTGGTATTAGTAAAGTAGGCTCACAAACTAATTTTAAAATAATAGTGCACCAAGAATGCACAACTCAGTAGGGGTCCCTAAAGTGGGGAAGAGCCTGGGAGGTGGGACAAGATGGCAGGAACCCAACAGTTAGATTTTTTGTTAGATGGTTAATTTTGTTTGGGGGTAGTGTTTTCATAGTGTTTAGTAGTAATTGCACTATTAAAATAACTGACCAATTGCATGAGACATTCGTGGAATAATATCATAGACCTATATTTTATGTTTAATCTAATTCTGAATATCAGAAGTCCATAAATAATTTGTAAACTGCAGATTTGGGCAGGCAAGTGGTGAGCATGGAGAACAAAGCCATTTTGTTTTCCCCGATTCCTTCACTTGTTGTGTGATAATATGACTGTAGTCAGTGAGTAATTGATGTCCTCAAGTAAGGTCCTGTCTTTCACCCCACCCAGTGTCCATGAACTAAGACATTAGACAAATTTTAAATTAAATACTAGCAATTATATATTCCTTCAAAATATTTTAAGAAAGTTTACCTATTGGGACTTACTTCTACATTGGACTTTTTGAAGGTGGCATCTTAGTGTCAGTGGGTATTTTCATAAACATTGTTTCTGTTACTTTCATTGTACACTTGACAATTGCTGAGTCCTCTTTTTGGTGCTGGAATATAGTTGTGTTAAAAAGAACTTCTTTTGTTTATGGGAATGACAGATAGACTGATCAGAAGCATCTAGAGTCCAATAAATATGCAATAGCAAATATAGTGTCCTGTGAAAGGAAAGATTAGGATGATGAGAGAGAAGATGAGAGGCATCGAGTAAGTGTTGGAGACCATCAGAGTGGAATGGATGGAAGGCATTCTCTTTTCCATCACCTGCATTTTGTATGTGAGGAAAAACTCATTCCCTTTAGATTTGCGCAAGGATACCTAACCGATTAGTACAAAATCAGGTATGAAAATTGAGGCTTCCTAATTTTAGTTGAAGGAATTTCTAGAGGTCAGCTAGACTATGTTTGAAAAGATAAGTACTTTTTGAACAGTTGTCCTTTGGTGTAGAAAGTGTGAATGTGTGCTGGAATTTCCTGGCTGTATGCTCTGAGCCCCCAATGGGGACAACTGTTGCACTATCATTCTGAGACTGCATACAGAGGGCACGTTCACCAGTGACCTCTCCAGGTGTAGCTTGTCAGGGAGGAGGTAAAGTGGTGGGCTAAAAATCCAAGTGGAGCCACATTTTATTGGGAAGCCAATAAAATGAGGTGTGAGGGCTGGCATAAAATAGAAAGAAAGGATCAGAGGAGGTAAGAGAGAAAGGAAAAAAAAAAAGAGGCAATTCCTGCTCTTTTTTTTTTTTTTTTTTTTTTTTTTGCTATTCTTTGTACAAGGATGATATATAACCTAAGTTAATTTTTTCTATTTCCTCTGGCTTACTTTTCTGCCTCAGCCTCTCCTATTACCAAAAGGAAAGATACTGAATTTCCTTTGCAGTTATGTTTCAAATTACCAAAGCACAGTTGATAATTATTCTTAGCTCTTGATTAGGTTGAACAAGACACATTAACAACATTCATAGGGCAAATCATTTAGTGGAAACTTCATTATTACCTGTGAAATATTTTGGATTTTCTTAGCATACAGCCATTACGTAGTGTAAAACTATAGAAATATCTTTGAAAGCAGCTGTGATAGATTTGGAAGCAACAAAACAGTAAATTGAGACCTGCAGGTCTTGGGCTGTAATTTAAATCATACAAATTAGGCCTTTTGCATCTATTGCCTTGTTCAGAGCAGTTACTATTAGCCTTCTTAGAAGAAAAAGGATCGTAGCTTCATCTCATAAGGAAACTGTCACACTTGCATTTCTTTTAATAGCTAGAAGCATATTTACTTCCCTTAAAGGATGTATCTCCTTTTGATGCCTAGGCTTTGTGTGCTGCTGTAGTGAAACCCGATGTGCTGGAAACAATGACCCTGCTGTTCAGTGGCGCAGATGTCATGTGTGCTACTGGAGATCCTGTGCATAGCACCCCCTACCTGCTGGCCAAGAAGGCTGGACAGAGCCTGCAAATGGAATTTCTCTACCACAACAAATTCTCAGGTTTGTCTACAGCCCTGCGTTAACCTGCCTGCTTTTCTCTGATATATCCCAAAAAGGAGTGAAGCACAAATCTGTTTAATTTTCAACTAAGAAAGAAAAACCATCAGAATGAAGAAAAACGTAATTACCAAAATACCCTTTCATATCAAATAGTTAATCCCACATAATCATCTCCACCAGAATTAAATCCGATTTTCACATATGAATAATGAAAATGACTTAAGCGTTTACTTGCAAATTTTATGCAAAATAACATCAATCTATATTTATTCGGTGGTAAATTTGAAGTTTTTCCTGTAGCTCAAAACTCACCTGAATGTTCACATACAAAGGGACAAGTTGTTTACGTTTTGGATTTTAAATTGGTATTTAACTTTTCTAGACTTCCCTCAACATGACATTCATTCTGAGGGTGGGTCAAGTCAGGAGGCAGCCCAGTCCGCGTTCCTCTGTGACTTCTTGTATCAAGCTTCTGCTGCTGCTTCTAAAATCTCTTCAGAGAAAAAGCTGCTTGAAGGTATCTTTTTTGGCTTCTTTTAGATTTTTGTTACTGAATGAAACTACATTCCATTATCAAAACAATTAGGTTTAAATTTTGATTTTCCCCCTCAAGATGTTAGATTTGCTCTTGCAGTAGAAAGGTATTTTTTGAGGATTTATAAATGTTTCTAGGCACAGATACTATTTCATGTACTGTAGCAGTTTTACCACCGAGTTGGAAGGGTGAGTGAATTCTGTTGAGAATTCACTGATGTCTACCTTATGAGCCAACTGATTCTTTTTCGGGTTTTAAGGGTCATTCTCAAAAACATAAAATTCAGACCCTTACCTTAGGAATGGGTACTTCAACTGGTGACATAATATACATAAGTCTGAACACATAGGGAAAACTGGCAGGTTTTCAATATAGGCTGAGTCTCCCTTATCTGAAATATTTGGGACCAGAAGTGTTTTAGAGTTTGGATTCTAGATCTTTTTTTTAATTTTGATATATTTACAAATACTTGGGAATGGGATCCAAGTCTAAACACGAAGTTGATTTATGTTTTTCATACACATTCAACAACAGCTAGCTCGAAGACAGCATTCAATATTTTTGGTAACTTTGTTTCATGGCAAGGAATTTCCCCCATTGTGGCATCCTGTTGGTGCTCAAAAGGTTTTTGGATTCTGGATATTCAAAATAGGGATGATCAACCTGGCGTACATTCAATCAGAGTACTAAGTGATAGGATGTGAATTTGTCCTGATTAGGAGGATGTGTGTGTGTGTGTGTGTGTGTGTTTGTGAGAGAGAGAGAGAGAAAGAGTGTGTGTGTGTGTGTTTAAGTAAAATGAAACAAGTATGGTTTCTAAAAAAAAGGATGGGAATCATTTTGATTCAACAAATGTTGTGGATATGAGAAATGATCTATGTAGTGGCACAATGGGCCTTTTATCTCTTTATTCTTCTGTCTGGCCTGTGCTAGGCATTAGGAAAATAACAGTGAGTAAGACGCAGGTCACATGAATGTCACATACATTTGAACTAATTTGAGAAATATAGTCAAGAAAATATAAAGTGACACCTCCCTTATTGGTACAAAGGACATGTGAGTGATTAAGCCGTGTAGGCCAACTGGTAGTGGGTGCTGATTGGCTCAGTGGCTCAGTGTTCATTCCCTAGGTATTATAATTCAGCCAAATGACACAATCAAAGGAATGGTAGCATAAAAATTCACATTTGATTGTTAACCCTGGTACTTGTACATCTGACGTGATTATTTCAGTATAAATTCTGTACATGTTAAGTAACCCTTTTCAGAAATGCCTGTGGTCAGAAGTGTTCAGATTTCAGATTTTTTTGTGAGGGGGGATATTTGAATAGATTTACCACTTGAGCATCCCTAAGGAAAAAAATCCCCAATACAAAATTCTAACCTTTTTGAGTGTTGGGTCAACACTCAAAACAGATTTTAGAACACTTTAGATTTTAGATTTTCTGATTAGGTATGCTGTGCCTGTATTTCAAAAACAAAAAAATCCCAAAGGAGAATCATATTAGGATTATCTAATACTCCTAAAAAATACCTGTCCTTTAGTGAACAAGTACTGTATGTAAAGCACTGCTGTAGTAGGCACTTTGCACTCATTATTACAGTTCTCACAAAAAAGTGTGTAGGGTACTTGATGGTATGCCAGTTTTCACATAAAAATTGAAGGAGCTCAGCAGGCAGCAGAATTTTACACTTGTGCTGTAATATTATTATTGTCACCATTGTGGCCTTGATTATAGTGTGACAGCCAGGAGATAGTAGGATGGAGGATGGAAGAACTTTTTTCTTTTTGACAGTACTTGTATTTGAACTTGGGGTCTCACACTTGCTAGGCAGTCAGTAGGCACTATACCACTTGAGCCAACCCCATAGCCCTTTTTTGCTTTAGTTATTTTTTGGATAAAGTCTTGGCGTTCTTGCTTGTGGTCAGCCTCAGAGTACGATCCACCTACCTATGGCCTCCCATGTAATTGGG